GCCCTGATCACAATGTATTCACATTTGAAAACTTCCTACAAGAGTAAGAATTTTTATCACAGATGCAAGCAGCAGTTCACTTTCTGCCTGTAAACCAGCTACATTCTCCATTTGATTATATAGTAATGAAACTGTGTAATTTGAGTTTTACATACCTGTAGGCAGAAGCAAATTGAGCAAGAATGAGCAACACTTGCCCGATCATTATTAGCACTGTCCCACGCTTATAGTTGTAGCAGTACCTTTTGTAAATAATAGCTGCAATGTGGCGGTTCTTGTTTACCAAGATAATAGGATAAACTCTTCAGCTGGGATTTGGGACTGAAGTTCCACAGTTTTTTATATTTACAGCATCCATTTCTGTTTGCTAAAGAGAAGAGAATTCTCTGGTGATCCAGACACACAACCATGTTAGCAATCTTCCCTTCCACACTGGTAGTCTCTGTTTTCACCTACTCATATCCAGAAGTCCTGCTTTCCCACCATTGTGTGGAATTTAACACTCTCAACCTATTCAGCCATCATGTCGGTGCCACGCAGAATGATTATTCAGATCAGAGCGCTGCATTTTCTATTGGGAATTGTTTTGACGGGCATCAGATGATATTTGATCTTGTGCTGTCAGGTTGCTGTTCAGTCTAAACTGCATAAAACAAATAAAGCTGAGAGGAGGCCTTACTACTGGTTGGAAAGAAGAGATGTCTGTTCTAAATCAGCCAGTTGCTTTATTTTATGTCAGTGTGAGCACCTCTGAGAAAATTATGGCTGTGCCTAATTTTTCCAAAATTTTAAAGTATGATTTTCTAATATTTAAAAGCCTTTTCAGGAGTGATTCCTTTGCCCCAATGCTTTGTTGGCCTTTTGGCTCTGCTGAACGCTGATGAAGCTTTATTACTTCTATATAACCTTTATCCAAGTATCTCAAAGCACTTTCTGCAGAGAAATTATTCAAGCCATGCTACAGACTGATGTGGTGGGCCTGATTTTTTTCTGAGGTACTAAACAGCCACAGCTCCCACTGAAGTCAGCACCTAAGAAAATCAGGACAAGTGATTTGTTCAAGGTCATACAGACTGAGTGAGTGGTGGGAATAGAACCCAGGAGTCCTGGTGCAAGTCTCCTACTCTAACTGCTATACAAAAATCTCTGTTGTAATATAACAGCAGGATTGTTTTTATGATCTTAACAGCCCTATTTAAAGTCTCCTAAGAATAACTCTTTGTCTTCATGGTGTTGCACAGGCCCATTAGTAGAATGTTCACACCTTGCAGTTGATTCGCATGCTACATTCAATGTAATGTATTGTTCACAGTATTTTATGGCACATCATATTCTTATAATAATATTTCACGGTACATGTACACACAATTGGTGTCTTACACTGTAAGATACTCATGTCCCTTTAAAACAAATGTGAAGCTACAGGGCACTCATTAACTTAGGTTGGAAAACATTATCTCAGCTGTGTAATAATGAAGGAAATTGCTTTGAAATAACACAAAAGGGAAAGCTTTGTGCTACCATTCTGCAAAGGGGAGCTGTATAGCACTATGTAATTACAACTTTGAATAAAAATGTGTTTAAAATATGTAATATGATTGTTTTGTGTTAAATCTGACTGGCTATCCAGGACTCCTGAGGACTTGCAACAAATGTCCTTTCTCCAGGTTTCTCAGAACCATGAGTGTTCCTAGATTATGTGCTTCATTATTCAGACAGCAAGGTGTTTAAAGGTGATGGTATGGCAGTTTTAACACTTTCCTGAATGTTGTTGGCTATTCTTTTTCTGCATTTAATATGGGGACAGAGCTGTACAATTCCCCTTTTTGCAGAACGTTCGTTATACACCCCCAGTTTTTAAGGTGTCAATGTGTATTCAACTGGAAAGAAGAAATACTGCTCTGTACCTAACACCCTGCAAACAATGGGTCTCGTTGTAGGAGCTAAACTCAGCTCTAGTGGAAAGAGATCGAGCAATTTGTGAGAGGAATGAGTTGCTGGAAAAGTACTGTCATGAAGTGAAGGACAAGGCTGAGGCCCAGAAGGAGCTTGATCAAGCTTGCAAGGATATAGAGACAGTGAAGGAAGAAAGAGATGTTGCCAGGAAAGAGAGAACAGAAGCTATCATCCAGAGAGACCATCTGCTAAGGGAATATTACCAAGCTCGTCAGGTACTGGCTGTCTTTGAAGATGGCTTTTTCTTTTTAGGTCGAGGAGAGTAAATGCCATTCGGCAGGCGTGTAAATGTCTTGGTACAAAGCTTTTTTTTTTTTTTTTTAATTCAATGAAGAATGCCTCTTATGCATGCCTGCACACACTTCTTATGAGGGGGGAGTGACTAGACTACTTGTTTAAAATAAATCAATCAGTCACAGTTTTTAAGTTTCCATTTATAAGGGGTTAATAAATAGTTAATAGATTTTCTTTTTAATATATGGTTAACAGACTGTTATAGCCCAACAGTTCAGCAGATTACAGTAGTGGTGTGTCTGGAGCATCACCCCCTTGTGGATCTTCCAGAACCCCACTGAGGCAGGCTCTGTCCCACCAGCTAGTTTTCCTGTCAGTCTTATTCCAGTCCTGGGTAGGATTGAGGGGCTCAACCCCAAAAATGTTCAATAACAAAAAAAATCCCCAAACACCAGTCTGTCCCCCAGTCTTCTGGTGGGAGGAGGGGTGGGGCGGTGCGTCCCTGCCCTTTCCTTTGGGCTTGGTTCCCCCACTAGTCTCTGATTTGAGTGTTGTTCGCTCCTTGGGGTCTTGCTGCTCTGGCTAGCAGGCTCTTTGCCTGTCAGCCCTGAACTGAGCCAGGTGGTCTTTTTATTCTCCCGCTTGGCTTGGCATTGGCTGCAGGTGAGCAGGGTGGGGCTAGTTGGATCTAAAGGCACTCCTTAACCCCTTCTTTGCTGGTATGAGTCCTCTGTGCCCCATCTCAGTCACTTAAAACAATCTGTAATACCTTCTGCTGGTGTGCTCATATATATCTGTTACATAGCCACTTATGTCTGTAACATGCTTATTATGTGTGCCAACAATTTAAACCTTTTATAGAGCAATTTATAAGTGTGACTAAAAAGTTTTTCTGTTCTGCATAAATTTTTTACATTCAATCACACTAGGATATACAGATCATTAAAGAGATGATGGAGCATATCAAGCTGTGACTGTTAGTGATTATATAGAAGAGTTAAAATAGTCTTGCAGTTTTGCATGTTTGTAGATCTATTATATGTAATATATTTCATACATACATATATTGTAATGTAGTAATACGTAAAATCCTACACTATCCCTGCTTCTCATGCTTGAGAAAGAACTACAGGATTTACAGTAATTTTATATTAGCAAAGATCCTTCAGAAGGTTTTTTTGTGTGTGAGAAAGGCGTATTTTCATTTATCTAATTTCATTATGGTATCAATCCTGTATCATAATAGACTCTTTTCACCACAAAAACTCCCCCATCTTCAGCTTTCTATGCCATGTATATTTGTCAATCTTGAATCAGCATCCGAGTGAGCAATAAAACTAGGAATTCAACTGGGCTGTGCAGAACCCTTTTATTTTCAGTTGGCTATCATGCCTCCAACTTTCTATCTTGTTGTGCAGAAAGCTCTTCTCCACCTCCCCCCATCAAAAACCACTGATATGGGAAGACCTTGGCTTGATTTGCAGCCTTCTTCAGAGTATCAGCATGAGTTTGGGAATACTTCATGTAGGCAGGACCGGCAGCATCTTCTCACTCAGCAGTGTGCCCCCACCTCCCAGATAGGTAAAGAGTTGCATTTGATGGACTCCAAAGGAGGAGCCCTACCAAATCCTCTGCTGAATGAGAGATGGCTGTTACAACAGCTTTTAAGGATCTGTACTGCAGGGGAGATACAGAGAAGGAACTGTAGGGCTCCAACAAAAGACCCTCAAGAGGAGTGAAATGTGACTTCTTAGGGCCTGTCTTTGTTTTATGAAGAGGAGTGGAGGATCCTGAAAAAGCTGAGTGGAGATCTCAGTGATATACTCACTGCTGGATACATACTACATAGGGTCAAATCTCAGTTGTTGTGGGTTCATTTGGGGATTTTGAGGGATGCGGTGGGGGTGCGTGTGGAAGAGTGGGAAGGGAAATAGCACAATGAAAGGCAAGACATGAATTTTTGTGGCTTCTGTTAGTTCTCATGAATTAGTATTACACTTTTCGGAGTGGTGGGTTGGAATGTGGCTGGGGGTTTTAAGCATGAATGGCTACAATTAAAACCATTCAGGGAGGCAGACAGCCCTAAAAGTGTAGTGTCCTGGGTGTATTGACCTCCTAGCACTAGTAGGACCCCTCTACATGTATTTAGACCCTGTTCCTGCAAACACACAGTTGCTTAACTTTACTCAAGACAGTGGTCCCATTGAGTTCATCAGGACTACTCACATATGTCAAGTTAAGCTCATTTGTAACTATCTGCAAGATTAGGGCTTGAAATGTGATTGTGTTAAAATAAGCTTTTCTCTTGTGGGCACACATAGAAGTGTTCTCTTTCAGTCAGCATTGTCATTGTCACTATTTCCTTTGGTGTTTAAAATCTGCAATGGTAGAGAGGTGCAGGTTCATTTTTTTTAAAAAGGAGAAATAAAATCTTTTCTAAAACGTTGAATTAAAACAAAAATTGCTTAGAGATCTATTATTCTCCTTGGGAGATTGGAGACAGTGAATCACAAGTGTAGGTGTACTGTAAATCTGTACGTCTGATGTTTACTGCCTGTCACAGGATCAGTCCTAGACACTAAAACAGCCTGTCTGTGCCATGATTGTTCACTGTGTTATCTTGTTTCTAGCTGTCCTTAGACATCTTCCGTCTGTGTGCTAAAACACATCAATGAGTCAGCAAGATATCACTGAAATATGAAGTATATATTGATTTTGCTCTAAGATGAAGAATCTTCCACCATAGATTACAGTCCTATGAGTCGTTGACCATCCTCTCTTCCTATTGACTAAAATGCTTAGACCCAGCCCTGAACCCTTTACGCAGGCAAAGTTCCCACTGATTTTGGGATTACCACTCAATGGTAGTTTAGTCTGTGGCAGGATTTCAGGACTAAGCCCTTCATATAACAAACCTGTAGTAAGGGTTACAAAACCCAGTGTGCATACTCATTCTATGAATTGTACATAAAATAAATATTTCTATATATTTGAACTCATAGATCCAAGATTCTGCTACATTGGACATAGAAAGAGCTAACAAAGAAATTGAAATGCTTCGGAAGCAATATGAGGCCATGTCACAGGAGCTAAAGGAAGCCGTCCAGGAAGCAGAAGTAGCCAAATGTCGGAGAGATTGGGCCTTTCAAGAACGGGACAAGATAGTTGCGGAAAGAGAAAGCATACGGTAAACATGTTAGCTGATACGGTGGTGCTCTTCATAATCTTAATGGCAGTGGTGTTCTTGTAGTGCAGCTGACTCTTTCAGAGTTTGACGGTTTTTGATAGCACATCTTTTAACTTTTTTGAGCCAACGCATGATTTTATCACAGTGTACTTAAGTAATAGGAGAATACCCCTTCTTAATTTGGTAGGGTCTTCCAAGACATCCTTCTTAACAACCTACCCCTTTATCACCATACTAACTTCTCTCTGGTAAACATCCCTCCAGAGCCCATCAGCACAGCGGTCTGAGAGTGGTAACAGGGTACCTCTTCCTCCACACATAGTGGCCAACTCTGTAGTACCCATGGTCTAAAAAGCAAGGGACCTGAAGCCTGATTTGTGAGGATCTAGTCATGGTCTTACTGTTTGTAGAACACCTAACGCCTCTTTTGTTCTAGATAAACACTAAGTACAAAAGTGGAATTTCTAAAGGAAGGATTTTGTAGCAGTTAAAGGACATGGCTGGTATAAGGATTCAGGGTTCTGTAAGTTAGTAAATGTAAGTTGCAGCTTTAAAGTTTTACCTGAACATCTGTTATTTTCAAAGGACTTTGTGTGACAACTTGAGGAGAGAGCGAGACAGAGCTGTGAGTGACTTGGCAGAGGCTCTTCGCAATCTCGATGACATGAGAAAGCAAAAAAATGATGCTGTGCGTGAACTGAAGGAACTAAAGTATGTTATAAAACGATTTCATTGCATAGAATGCTTTTTATACTAGAAACCTTTCATTAACAGATTCTTCAGGCCTGTCTACATAAGCGAAGTCTGCATCCGTGTGACTAAGATAACACTAGTACACAAACCCCCTAGTGTAGACACAGTGCCCCAACACAAAGCAGGGCTCCTTCTGGTCCAGCTAACTTCAGTAACTTACTCAGCTTAAATAGTAATCAAACGTTTTATTGCAGCTTGAGCTTTAAGAAAGTATCTTGGTTCTAATGCTTTTTTAAAAGCTATTCAGTTAGAAAAAGAGAAATTTTCAAGTCAACATATACTGATGAGATAGTAATTATTTTGAAATCTGTGTGCCCTTGGCTATCATAACCTTTTGCCTGCAATATACCCACCTTTTCTGTTAAGATTAAATGAATCTTAAACACCTATTGTACACAATAGGATCCATGTGTAGATGAATTTATAGATCAGCATTGTGTACAGGGCAAAAGGAGCTGGTTGGTTAGTCATGTTACCCCCCAGCAAATAAGAAAGTCTTCATTCTGATTATACTGTTCAGTCAGAAGCGTAATGTGTTCGGAACATGTCTACATACCAAATGTGTCTGTTGAAATGCACTGAAGCAACACTTTCATTGCAGTCAGGCTTTCACTATAGCTTTGTTCATTACCTCCAGATTCCCACTGAATTATAAATAAGAGGAGAAAACATGCATCACATAATTTTTCAGAGTGGTAGAAGATCTTATTTTCAGTGCTAAATCACCTCCACTTCTCCCTTACTATTTGGAGCAGCTTATCTGGGGGGAGGAGGGGAAGAATCTACTGCTAACTTTCTTGAGAAGCATTTTCTATATGTTCATGAATGGAACTTGTTTGTAAGTTTCCTACAGTTCATATAAGAGAAGATTACAATATGAAGGAAATGAAGTTTTAAAAAGTGATTTCAGGTTTCTACTTAGATTGTGGGATTGGATAGACTGAACAGAGATTGTATTGCTAAATTAGAGAAGGAACTGTAAAGTACATAATCTCATTCATTCGTTTCTTTACAAGGGAGCTGCTGAATCACCTATAAACACATGTCTTTCATTCCATAGAGAGAAGATGGAGAACCAGTTGGAAAAGGAAGCCAGGTTTCGGCAGTTGATGGCCCACAGTTCTCATGATTCAGCTATAGACACAGATTCTCTGGAATGGGAAACAGAAGTGGTGGAGTTTGAAAAAGACCGAGTAAGCCCAAGATACATTGAAGACTTTAATGTTTTATATAAATGAATTGCTTGATGTTTCAGCATTACATCCCTTGTACAATGGATTATAAAAATAATGCTGTTTGTTGAATATGTATTTTTAAACATTATTAATTTTAATTGTGGTTACATACTATAAATGCAGTATTTACAACAAATATCATACCAGTCAGATATGAAAAGCTGACACATTAAAGCACAATAGACCATTATCAAAAAGATTTGTTACAGGAAATCTACTCCCTCTTGTGGAGTACAAACCATAGATAACTTTGCCATCTAATCTTGTAAACCACACAACTGTTGCCTTTATATAAAAATGGTGTATGTGTAAATAAATAAATAAACAAATATTTATAATATTTTTTAAAACAAGGAGATTAATTCCTAACACTAATGGTAATAATAAAATAGTAAACAAGGTTGTATTAATCCCTTTAATACCTCGGGGAGGAACTGAAATCTGTGTATAATAATTTGTACATCTGAGATATTGTTAAAGCACAAAAGATACAAAATAAGGGCATAGTAAGAGCACTCAGTTTACAACTTCTGTTTTCATACAAATGCAAATTAGTTTGAATTCCAGTTGAATCGCTTGTAACATTAACAATGTTTATTAGGAGGATATGGACTTGAAAGCACTTGGTTTTGATGTGGCAGAAGGTGTGAATGAACCATACTTCCCTGGAGACTGTGGGATTTTTGTCACCAAAGTAGACAAAGGAAGTATTGCAGATGGTCGATTAAGGTACAGTGTTAACTGGTAAATCATTTGCATGCCACTTGGAAGCACTTATTTTAATTTGCTTTGGTTGTAAAAGAAAAAAAAAAAGATCAAAATATTATGGATGGTTGGTCACCTCTCCATATTTTAAGTGGGTTCTGTTTTAGCTCCCTAATAATTTAGGCTTTGAAAATTGGTTTGATCTGAAAATTGCAGTAAGAAGAAGGTGTTTGCAAAGCATTATGGAAATAAATCTAGTCATTCTTGATTTACAGATCATTTTTTAAAAAATCCCAATTTGAAATGTTGACATTTGTCTGTTGCTGGTTTGTCTGCTCTAGCACTTAGCCTGTTTCTGTCTCTTCAAACTTTCCATTTACTTAGATCTTCTTGAGAATTTGTGGGCAAGTTATAGTTGGGGGGAAAAAAGATTATGGATAGTCTGTGACCCAGTCGTGATGCCATAGTGTCAATTCAAGTTTTTTGCCTCTTAAGTGGAAGTAGAATCATGGACTGTTCAAGCATCTGGCCCTCCATTGGTTGGTTTAAGCTCACAAAAAATTGTGTTGTCTGTACCACAAAGCTAGAGGAGACCTTCCTTTCCATAAGTGGTAGAGGCTTGCATTTTGAAGCAGTAGAACCAGAGCTCTTGTCCAGGCTCTGCAGATGTGTGTAGGGTTTATTATGGAAAGAAGCCGCTCCATAGTTAAAGTTACAGCCACAGTCCAATTATAAGGCTAACTTTCGCCTGCTTTGTAACTCATGTTTTCAGATTTTTACAGTTGAGGTCTCAATAAAAGCTGGAACATACTGTGACCTTTTTGTTTAAATTAAGGGAATACTCTCTGATATTAAAGGGCTTTAAATGGCTCCCATTTGAAATTTTTTGAAAGTGTCTAATGAAATGCTATGTCTGCCCAACAAAATTGCATCAGAATACTTGAAACATAGGTAGATTTTGAGATTGGCTCATGCACGAGACAGTTTCCAAGAACAATAAAACTTTTGGGGTAACAGAGGAACGGCATATTTAAGTGGTTTGACAAAATCTGAGCCCTGACTATTGAGATAATAACCATGACTTATTCACTTTACAAGAGTACCTACCTCTCATAAATATTGCTTGAAATATCTGTGTTTAGTTAGGCCAGCTCTAACATGAAGCTAATAATGTTTAATGTACCTGCACAGAAGTGCCACTCACCACATTTTTAGATACGAGGTGTCCCAGAATCAGTAACTTGACTAGGAGATGCTGAGGGCTAGTGGGGTAAGCAATGGCGGTGGAACCAGGAGGACCTGGGGCTTACTCAATGTCATTAATAGATGCTGGGAAACATCATCCTTTTTCAGAAATGGGGAGTGTTAGACAATTGAGGGTGGCATATCAAGGTTGTACTAGTGCTATTATGGTCCTTTTAATTAATTATTGCATATTTGCAATGTGCAGCAAAGTATTCCTATAACATGGACTTCCTTGCCTTTCTTTTAACTGCCAGAGTGAATGATTGGTTGCTGAAGATAAATGATGTGGATCTTACTAATAAGGATAAGAAGCAAGTTATAAAAGCTGTACTTAATGGAGGAGGCGTTATTAATATGGTGATCCGAAGAAGGAAGTCCTTAGGCGGGAAAGTGATAACACCTCTGCACATCAATCTTGCTGGGCATAAAGGTAATTATTTACATTTGAATGCTCAGGGCAAGCTATTAGTCCACTCGCTTGAATTGTTATGACTTCCTAGATAAGGGTTCTCATTAGCTGTTTTTTTTTAACTGAACAAGAAGTAGTGACTTAAGTTAAGGATAGATTTCTTGCACGAATACTGCTAATGTATCATTTCTCACCTCTAGTTTGTCCTCTATCAGGAGGCTTATAGGAGTTCAGTTGAATAAGCTTGCAAATCCCTACAATCTTTTTTTCTCCACTAGAAAGTGCTTATAAAGCTATATTACATTTTGGGTTACCTGTAACCCTTTTCCCATTGTTTTTCTGTGGTTTTTTTTTAAACGTTATTAGAAGTTAAGCTAATTTATTTTCAACTGCATTTTTATTACATGCGTTTCTTGTTCATGCAGGTAAGTCAGATATGTGCTAAATTATTTGAACTGTAGAAATGAATTTGTTTTATCTTTATGGATTTCAGATAGTGGAATTAGTTTAGAAAATGGAGTATTTGCTGCTGCTGTTGTGCCCGGTAGCCCTGCTGCCAAAGATGGGTCCCTTGCTGTGGGAGATAGAATAATTGCCGTAAGTCTAAAGAACAAATAGAATTTCAGTACCACAGATAGTATGAAACACTTTTCCTTTTCTTTAAAACCTAAAACCTTTTTATTTGACTCATTTTACCATGTTTTTCTCAGTTTTAAATCTAATGATCTATTGAATAAACATGTTGGTGTTTGTAGGTTGGGTGAGTAATAGAAAATACAGGCCACGTTTAGTAGTTTCATTGGTGAAGTTTTGAAAATATGGTTGCAGTAACTCATCCTTCAGACATATTTGTGGACAATCTCACTGCCTTCCCTTTTCACAATAAACGATAGGTAAGATGACTTAATACAAGGACTTCAGTTCAAGGAATCTTCTTTAGACCTCCATTAGAGTTTAGAAATAGAAATTATCTGGGATGATCTTATGACTATTCTTCCGTTAAAAGTGGACCTATGTCTCCATTCCACTTCTGGATGTGTTGATTAAACTACAGATGCTCCTGCAATTTGTAAAATCCCATGAAGGCCTGTCTTTACCTTCAGACTTCCTCTGAACTTGAGAAGACTCTCCCTCTGATATACCTGCTATTTCAGAACCACGTTAGAGAAAGTGGTTAGACTCTTGTCTCCTCCAGGATGCTACTTATCTCTTCTGGGAACTGCTGGGGGTTATATATTTTATTCAGAGGAACGGATCTCAGGGAGGGTAGATTCATGCAAATATATAAAGATACGTAGAGGTATATGCAGTGGAGCAATCATACATTAAATGCCAGCTCTAGTGAAGTAGCAAGTCCATAATTGCAGTTCTGGTTAGAGCAAATCTCTCATTAGTGAAATTGTCTGAAAAAGACCCATTCTCCTGATATGCAAAAATGATCCAATTTACCAGAATACTGACATTTCCCTTTTTGCTTTAGTTGTTTTTTTTTTTTTTTTTTGGTGTAACCACTATTTGCCTATCTCATAGAATGTAAACTAAGACAATTGCCTGATGCTAGGTTTGTTTTGCTAATTTCCCCTTGTTTTTATGCAGATTAATGGCATTGCACTAGATAATAAATCACTGACTGAATGTGAAGCTTTGCTACGAAACTGTAGGGATTCCCTTACCCTCTCATTGATGAAGGTGAGTGTGGGGACAGGAAAGGAGGAAGTGAAGCAAAAGGTTTTTTTTCTGTTTATACATTTTTTTTTTTTAATTGTAAAGGGGAAAAGAACACATTCATAAAATGAATACAGTAATGTGGAAACTCAGCTAAATGAAATGGCTTTGTCCTGGTTAGTAGGGATTGGTCCCTGTCGGTAGTTACGGTGACGGGTTGGATCACAGAAAGCCCCTTGGGGACTGCCAACTGATGTGCTGAGACTACCTCTGAGCCCGTTTTCCCTGGCAGCTTGGGACTTCAGTACCCTGCCCGGTTTGAGCCAGACACGCTAGCCTGCTACAAACACAGACCCAGGTCTGAACAATGTCCCCCCAAAACTGCAGGCTTAACTGAAAACAGCTTAAGAAGTGTTCCTGTCTCCAACACTCAGATGCCCAGCTCCCAATGGGGTCCAAACTCCAAATAAATCCATTTTACCCTGTATAAAGCTTATACAGGGTAAACTCATAAATTGTTCACCCTCTATAACACTGATAGAGATATATGCACAGCTGTTTCCCCCCCAGGTATTAATACATACTCTGGATTAATTAATAAGTAGAAAGTGATTTTATTAAATACAGAAAGTAGGATTTAAGTGGTTCCAAGGAATAACAGACAGAACAAAGTGAATTTACCAAGCAAAATAAAATAAAACACACAAGTCTAAACCAAATACAGTAAGAAAGTGATTACAGATGAAATCTCACCCTCAGAGATGTTCCAGTAAGCTTCTTTTACAGACTGGACACCTTCCTAGTCTGGGCCCAATCCTTTCCCCTGGTTCAGTCCTTGTTCCAACTCAGGTGGTAGCTAGGGGATTTCTCATGACTGCAGCCCTCTTTGTTCTGTTCCACCCCCTTATATATCTTTTGCACAAGGCGGGAATCCTTTGTCCCTTTTTGGGTTCCCACTCCTCCTTCTAACTGAAAAAGCACCAGGTTAAAGATGGATTCCAGTTCAGGTGACATGATCACATGTCACTGTAAGGCTTCAAGCCCTCATTCCTCCCAGCGTGACTTACAGGAAGATCTGCAAGCAGACAGAGCTATCCACAGTCAATTGTCCTGGTTGATGGGAGCCATCAAGATTCCAAACCACCATTAATGGCCCACACTTTGCATAATTACAATAGGCCCTCAGAGTTATATTTCATATTTCTAGTTTCAGATAGAAGAATGATACATACATACAAATAGGGTGACCATACTCAGTATATTATAAGCTTTGTAATGATAACAAGAAACCTTTTGCATGAAGCATATTCCAGTTATATTATAGTCACACTCATTAGCATATTTTCATAAAATCATATTGAGTGCAACGTCACAATTACCACCTTTGGATGGCTGTTAGGTATCCTACAGTATGTGAAATTCAGTGGTTGCTCTCAGTTCAGTTCCCTGTGGATTGCTGTTCACATAAAAAAATAAACCTACCAACAGAACTGGTAATATAGTCCCCTCATTAGCATCAGCTGCAGGAAGTCTGCATGGACATGGAACTTAAATGTCCTCTTGCCCCTAGAAAGGGTCCCCTCTGGGTCAGGAGTGAGGATCACTGGTGGGAAAGCAGACTCTGCCCATGATGAGGAATAAACAGAAGTCTTCATTCTGAAGGGCTGTCAGTAGGGAAACACTGGTATTTCATACTGTGGTTGTTCCTAGAAACCCCAGCTGACGTTAGGGGCCGATTATGCTAGGTGTGCCACATACACACTGTAAGAGTCCCTGCCCCGGAGAGCTGGCAGGCTAAATAGACAGGACAGACAAAAGGTGGGAGGGAAAACAGAGACACTAAAGGTGACTTGCCCGGTGTCATTCAGCATGGTGGTAGATCTAGAACTAGAATCCAGATCTCTGGACTCCTGGTCCAGGGCCTTATCCACTACACCATGCTGCCTCTGTGAAAGTATTTTTAAAAGATCGAAATCCTTATTCAATCTGATTCCCTGTACCAGCAATCTGTGAGATTTTGTTAAGCTGCCCCCTACTCTCCCCATCCATCGTTTTCCCCAGATTATAGGCTTGTTCCTTTATGTTCATCTTCACGGTACAGTCTCCATGTAAATTGGGAGCTTGGGGGAAGGAGAGGGAGGTGAGGCTGTCACGTGCAAAACCCAAATCTGCCACAGTCTTGGGTTGATTAAATATTTTTCTCCTCCTAGGTTTTTCCTCAGAGCTCATCGTGGAGCGGTCAGAACATATTTGAAAACCTGAAGGATTCAGAGAAAATATCGAACTGCAGGGTTCATACATCAGAGATACAAGTTCAGAATAAAAGAAACTTGAAACACAACAGTTCAACACAGACAGACATTTTCAATCCAGACATCCTGGATGGCAAGAAGGACCAGAGCGACCAGGGGAGTGGTTCGTTCTGTGATCACAAGCCCTTTTCCAGCCATGCTTTACGAGCAGACTCTCGCAGGAATGCTGTGCACAGCTGCCACAGTAATTCAGAACACAGTCTTAGTTCCTTTAGTCCAGACACTTACGGGGAACGAGGCTATGGACTTGTTGACTTGGACGGCAGGAGGCTGCCATTTGAGCCCACGGTAGCCGACTGCATCATGGTTGAGACCACGCTAGACAAAGGGCATGGAGCTAAGCATAGTGGTGGTACGTGGCCTAAAGTGATGGTCAATATTTCAACAGCAGAAACTGAAAAGTTCTCTGTGTACAAAAAGCCAAAACAAAGGAAGTCCATCTTCGACCCTGACACTTTCAAAAGACCACAGACTCCTCCCAAAATGGACTATCTCTCCCCTAATCAGGTGTCCGCGCATTCGCCTCAGCCCTCAAAAGCTGAAGTGGCTTCAACTCCTCCAACCCCTCCCAAGAGAAGTGACTCTATTAAATTTAAACATAAACAGCAGACAAGTTCTGCATCAGACTCTACTGTAACAACTGGATCCCCGCCTACCAGCCCAGCTACTGCCCATCCCCCATTGTCCTTGGCACTTAAGCAGGACTCAGACACTCACAAGGGGCGCAGCAGGAATGCTGGGCATTATTACAGGGAGGAGGGGATCGACTGCACTCATCTAACTTCAAGAAAATCTTGTGAAGATGACATTGGCTTTCAAAGAGTTGAAGAGCCAGAGATAAAAAGACCAAGACCAAAATCAGCACCTGCTTTGAGACATAAACTGACCCCTGTGCCAATTCCTAATCCTTCACTTCAGGTACAAATGAAATATATGGAAGCACAAAGCAGGGATGCAGGCCATTATTTTCAAAAGTGACTAAAGTTTGGGTGCCCAACTTGGCACACTTCAAAGGGGCCTGATTTTCAGAGGATGGAAACTCAGCACATTCTGAAAATCAGGGCCCTTCAGGGTGTCTCAAATTGGGTACCCAAAATTGATAGTAATGAAAATATCGGCCCCTGACACCTTCATTAACATTCTTGTTTGTCTTGAATTACAAAAGTAATTCTCAAAGTTACAGTATCAAAAAGGTTACAAAGAGGGATAATGGTGTCTTGCTTGATGAACGTTGCATGGTATTTAGGCTTTTTGGTACCAGATGTTCTCAGTAATAATTCTAAGTTCTCTAGTGTATGTTGACAAAATGCAAAAATTGAATTATGATGAAGGTCAAATTTACAAAGGAATTTAGGTGACCAAAGATGCAGATAGGCGGCTAGTTGGATTAACAAAAGCAATTGAAAGTCAATTAGAGTTGGGCTCTTGAGTCACATCAGTGTTTTTGTAAATGTCACAAGGTGCCTATCTACATCTTTAGGTGCCTAAATACCTTTGTAAACCTGGTCTGAAGTTGATAGTGGTTAAAGTTCAGTTGTACTCTGTAAATGTTGACAACATTTATTAGGAGGATATGGACCTGAAAACACTTGGTTTTGCTGCGGCAGAAGGCATGAATGAACAATCCCTCCATGGAGATACTTGGAAATTTGTTACTAAAGTAGAAAAAGGAAGGATTGCAGGCGGTTGATTAAGGTCGATAGGATGTTAACTGGGAGATAAAGGAAAAATGGCCGCAGGGTTAGTTTCCCCCAAGGCCTCCATATCAGTGGGTCAGATTCTCCGTCTATTACATTTGAACAGCCCCACTGTTTCAGTGGGTTTGCAAAGGTGTAACTGAGTGCAGGCAATGGAGTAGAAGGTATAAGCGAGAGCAGGATTTGGGGCCTGATTCTGCAAAGTGCTAGGTATTAGAGCTGGTGGGAAAACTTTCATTAAAATTTTTCTCAATGAAAATTTAGCAATTTCTGCCAGTTCTGCTGAGCACCTTCCACTCCTACTTTGACTTCAGTGGGAGTTCAAGAGACACTTGCCAGCTTGTAGGATTGGGCCTTTAATTAAACATTCTATCTGAGCCAGAATAGAATCCAGCTAACTCTGCAGTGCTGACAGCAGTAAAAAAGTAATAACAGTTTACTGTTGTAACTGAAGTCAGCAGATTATTACTGAATAAGCACAGGAAGCAGATGTGGCCTGTAAGAAGGTGCCATTTTCAAAACAGAATTGCACTGTAAAAAACTAATATATAGGCTACTGCTGCCTTTTGGCACATACCCAACAAAATATAAGCAAACCATTACACATTTGAGTGCACGGAATTTGCTTTAAATAGAATGTCAAGTTGATCCATTTGTGCTGTTACTCGTATGCTTATTATTTGAACTGTAGTCATCAGTCACTGTAAGCACAGCACATTTATATTGTCCTTAACGTCTAGACAAATGTTGCCTGCCATCTTATGCTAATACAATAACTCCTCGCTTAATGTTGTAGTTATGTTCCTGAAAAATGCGACTTTAAGCGAAATGATGTTAAGCGAATCCAATTTCCCCATAAGAATTAATGTAAATTGGGGGGTTAGGTTCCAGGGAAATTTTTTTCACCAGACAAAAAACTATATATTATATAGATATACACACAGTATATGTTTTAAACAAACAATTTAATACTGTTCACAGCTATGATGATTGTGAAGCTTGATTGAGGTGGAGAAGTTAGAAGGTAGAAGAGGGAGGGATATTTCCCAGGGAATGCCTTGCTGCTAAATGATGAACTAGCACTCGGCTGAGCCCTCAAGGGTTAACACGTTGTTAATGTACCCTCTTATCAAGGCAGCACGAACAGGAGGGAGGGGAAACAGCATAGCAGACAGAGACAGACACACACCTTGTGTGTGGGTGAGAGAGAGAGATGCACACTGCCCCTTTAAGTAAGCTGACCCACTCTTAAGTGTTGTCCCCTCCCTGCTCTATATGGAGAAGGGGTAAGTGGGGTACAGGAGCAGGGACTTTAAGTGAGGAGTTCCTGTACAAGAAATTTAAAGGGCTCTCATTTGTGACATGGGCATTTTCTGGATAGAAAGCCAATACCTTTGTTACCAATCAAGATAAGAACAGGTGAACCTTGTCAGGATATGTCAGTGTTGGTTATTAATACTTTCCAAAGGGTCTTGGAGTTACCATATAGCGCTATAGTTTCTGCACCCCCAACAAATATTTTTCAGATAATGAAAACACAGCATAATTTTGCAACTTGTTCTTTAAGGTGGTTGATGCATCAGCATGTTGAATGAGTGATGCCCATGTGAGAGAGTTTCAAGCTTGGAGATGCAAGAGTGCACACATTTCTCTCTGGAGTGTTTTGTAAATTGAGCTGTGAAGTTCAGAGCAGGGTTTAAAATTGGGTTTGTGTAGTGTCTTTATAAAAGAATGGCATTCACAAGAGTGCTTTTTATCCACTATCATAGCTAAAATAATTGCAGAGGCTGTACTTAAGCTAATATTGGGCCCTTTGAGAAGGGTTAGTGGTAGAAAATGAAGATATTTAAAATACAAAAATTACATTAAAGTTCTAAATTTATACACTTAAAATCAGAAATGAAAATGTTCTGGTTTTCATAGTAATGCTAATAATAGCCGTATTGCAGAGGATGTTTTTCTGTTCCGATAGCTAGATTGAAAGTTGAACTAGGTAGCTGTGCAGATGCTGTGTGCCTGCTACTTCCCCGCAAGTGGGCAGAGCCTTGGAACCCATCAGCTGGTATACGCCAAGGAGCAAGAGAGGCATTGTGAGCAAAGGAGTATCACCAAGAACAGTGTCTTCTGGAGCTACTCTTAGGTTGAGGCTGGTGCAGGTTAGGCACTACCCCTTACTCAGGTTGAAAGACACAGTCTTGCCCTACATGTAAATGTGAATCTATTAATGTTAAATGTATGTCAAAAATATACAGGATGTGCAACATGGCACAATTTATGGGTATATTTGTTGTTGTGCTTTAGTGGAATGTGCCTAGGTATCAAGGTGATTGAGTGTATTAGAGAATTTTAATTAAATAAGAGTGAGGGGAAAAAAAGGAGAGATGAACAAATGGCTTTTCTCATGGTTGGGTAACAGTCATGTCTGCTGCTGATGCAGCAAGGAGGGCATGGCAATAAGAATGTGTGCCTGTGTGTGGTGTTAAATCTCTCTCACTAAGTAACACAACTTTCCTATCACATGAAGAAATCTGAGTAGCCTTTAGTGATTCATATTCTGTATATTATGTTTTTAATATCATGGTTTTTATTCTGTACTGTTTTAACCTTGAAAATAGCATTATGAGGGCTCTGCATTTTTAAAAAAAACTGTGCTTGCAGCTTCCTACAGTCACTGGCATTCTTGGCCAACGAAATCTCAGTGCACATCAGATTTCCTCACTCACCCATGCCTGTTCACTCTGTGTAAAGCAGATAACGTAGAAATGTGTATCCACAGCCCAAACCAGCTCTTTCAGCTGACCTGTTAAAGCAGCCAGAAGAGAAGTTGCTCCACCTGCACCTGAAAGCTGAGACCGAGTGCTACACCTTCAGGCCAAACAGCCAGTCTTGTTTTAGGCAGCCATGTGCTCTAATGGCCAGGAAAAAAAAAGTGTAGACTTTGTTTTTAAACATCCGTTTTTGGAGGGGTTTATTGTTGAGACCATGTGGGACCAACGTGTTTTAAGAGAGAATTTGAATAGAGGGGCAGACATTTTGCATGCATGAAGAGGGAGTGAGTTCCAACATAGGCCTCGATTCAGCAAGATAATTTGCCGGGTGCATAACTTTTAAGCATCTGAGCAAGCCCTTGAAGTCACTGGGCCCGTTGACATGCTCAAAGTTACACACATGCCTAAGTACCTTGCTGAATCAGGGTCGTAACGGGGAAGAAGGTATGAGGACAGTGGGAATAGTATACGGAGAGTCCACAAGAGGGACTGGAGGGCCATAGGTAATGGATTGGGAGAATCCTATGGGAGAGAATGAAAGCTGAGATGTAGGCAGAGAGGAGCTTGAAGATGAAGACAACCTGAAAGAACAGTGAAGAACAGTGATATCAGCAAAGTGGTGGGATCAAAGCATAATAATTAACATCAAGTGATAGCCAGCAAGTTATTTTTGTACTAGTTTATACAAAGCTTTCTGGATTAGTTGCAGATTGAATTCTGCACTTTCCTTACAGGTACAGAAATACACTCCAGCCAGTGAAGAGCATCTCTCTCCGGAGCTCCAGGAGTGGGCGCCGTATTCACCAAAACGTTCCACTAGGCACAGTGACGGTTTTGTGTCTTCCTCCTTGTACACTGGAGCCATGTCAGCAGGTTGGTGACGATGACCTGTATGGTAATGTCTGTAATGTCATGGCGATAATTTTTCCTCAATTTTAATGTTCTGACAGCAAGCTAGACTTACTCGTTTTGTGGTCAAAGCAGAATTCAGTTCATAGATGTGAAGGCCAGAAGTGACCATTATGATTGTCATGCTGTCTGGAGTGGTTCACAACCATGAGTGCCAACCTCAGGGCAGACTGTCAAAAAGCAGACACCCAAATTGGTGGTATGTTCTTTAATTAGATTTCACCAACCCAGTAACAAATGTGAACTCCTAAAGCATTACAACAGTCTTACGATAGAGTCACAGACAGTCCCTTGGGCATTCCTGTCTATCTTGCCATCCCGTCAAGCTGCATTTCGTTGTGGTGGGTGCTATACACCAAAGATCACAAAAGATTCAAGTTGCACTGTTCAGACATAACCAGAGACCTGGGAGTTTATTTGGAGAGAACTCATGAATTCAGAGACTCAGAAAGGTTATTCATTCTTCACAAGGATCTCGGAAAAGGTCTTCATGCTAAGTGGAGAGGCAGCCTAGTCTCATGGATAGGCACTGGAGTGGGCGTTAATAGATCTGGATTCTAATCCTGTCACTGCCTGTGGCGGGGCGACGACTCACCGGCGCGGTGCCTCCTGCTGGCCGTCTCGGGAATTAGCTCTTTCCAGCCCGGAGTGCCCTCTGTAGGCCGATGTCTCGCCTGCCGCTGGCCCCCATGTCTCTCCCAGACCCCGGTTCCCCTCTACTTCAGGGTTCTGCCCCCAGCAGCAACCCACTGTGTCTGGGTCTTCCCTCGCAGGGGAACCCCCAACCCTCTATCCCCACCTTGCCTCAGTGACTACTGCCAGTCATCATCTAGCCCCTGCTCCCTGGGGCGGACTGCAGTCTGTAAACCACTCATCATCAGCAGTGGGGTTAGGACCTGCTGCCTTTGCCTATCTCTGCACTGCCTCTCTACAGCCCCAGTACCCTTTTGTAGGCCTTTAACTAGGCCTGTAGCCTGAGGTTTTGCTAGGCTGGAGCTCCCCAGCTGCCTCTGCCCTTCCCCCGCACTGCTCCACACTAGGTACTCTTCTCAGCTCCCATGCAGCCAGGTCTTTCTCTCTCTGAAGCTAGAGAGAGAGTGTGTGTCTTCCAGTCTCTGGCCCTCAGCCGTCTTATAGGGCCAGCCGTGGCCTGACTGGGGCATGGCCCCACCTGTGGCTGCTTCCCCCAATCAGCCTAGCTTTTCCCCCACCCCAGCCCTCTCCCAGGACTGTTTTAAGCCGTTCAGGGCATGAGCGGGGTGACTACCCCGCTACATTGGCACTAACTTGCTGTGTAGCCTTGAGCAAGTCATTTCTGTGCCTCTTTCACATCTCACCCTTTGATCTGACAAATTACACGGTAAGATCTTCAAGGCTCTTATGTGCCTAACCCACTGGGGCCTCTGGGTGCAATTTTAATATAAATACTGTCTGCCTTCTCCAGTCAGATTGAAACTGCTCATCCGAGAGGTTTACTTTAGTTACTAAAAAGGCAGTGTGAGACGACTGTGTGAGATCACTAGCACAAATGAGCGTTTTCTTGCAGGAAATGTTTATAAAGCAGCCATTTGAGCTTCATTGCCTACCTTTTTAAAAAACAACAATAACAAAAACCACACTATAGAATTGATGTAGAGGTACTGCCTGATGTGGTGGCCAGCAGGAACATCCACCTGGCCACTGCTAGGTAGAAATCTTTCCCCGGTGTCTTTCAAAATACTGGTTTAGTACGGTTTGCATTTGAACTAGCATAGAGGATCTCAGAGAGAAAATGTATCAATATGTATTTGCCTGAGTTTAGTGAGCAGGGTCTGAGGTATGTCCATTCAGCAATTTTCAAAGCCAAGGTCCAGCTCAAATGGGCATGAAGTTTAATTTGAATATTGTTCACAGTTCTTGTTAGTGCCTCCTTGGTTATCATCCTGATGGTCACTAAATTACTGGCAGCAGAAAACTCACTCAACCTCTGTGCCTCAAATTACCCACCTGTAAATGAGGATATTATTTAATCAGTATTAGTAAAACTGAGAGTTTTTTATCCGCATAGCATCTCTCATGCAAAGTATTGTAATATGCAATAATAAAACTATTATTAATGAGTAACTGTGACTTTATTGGAAAGTATTTTCACTAAAAAAGCCATTTCCTTATTTTTATATAATAGTGCCCTTAATTTTACAACAAACCTCATCAAAGTATCTCTGACAGTAAATATTCATTCTTTGTCTTTCAAAATGTTTCTGCAACTGTGAACTACGATACCAAAACTTTTGTTGAACAACATTTTGTCTGATAGTAAAGTATGAGTGTACTTAAATAAAAATCCTAAATAATGAGATTCACGTATAAATATCAGTTTCACAGAGTTGTGAATTGTTATAGTCTAAGGTCATAAGACACTATAGAAGCTGGAAGTGCATGAGCCCACTGAAGAGGAAAAAGAACAATTGTAGCCGCGATCAGTTTTTTTGTGCACCACACTAAAATTGGACCGCTCTCTAATTATTATTCAGCTAGAAGTATGGAACTATTTCAGTTACATGTTTGACACTATCATGACTTTGAGAAGGGAGAGGACATCTTTTTGGTGGGCAAGTAGACTTTGAACTGTTCAATAAAACAGTCTAAATAATGGTTTGAGCCTTGGAGTTAAATATTCAGCTTCCCACTTTATTAGTGATTTGCATAAATATTACAGGCAAATGACTTTATGCCAGCATCTTGAGTATGCCTCATGCCATATATTTTGTCCACTTTAAAATAGGTACTGTACCAAGAAGTTTAGCACCATGTCCTGCAGTAACTGCTGTCATGAGAAATCCAGTTTATACTGCTTGGAGCCACAGAGTTCACACCAACAATTGCCCGTCTGTTGCCAGCCAAATCTGCCATCAGCATCTGCATCCCAGGTATATATTCAGAACTTCACAACCTTAGATCTTTAATATATTTATAAATAAAATCAATAAGAGAAAACTGTTTCTTGCTGTGCACTTTGGTCCACACAGAGGCGAACACTATACTATTGCAGCATAATGTAAAATAATAGTTCTGTTACACCTTTTATCCGAGAATCTCAAAGCACTTTACAAACATGATGTAAAGGCAGTGACTTCTTCCCATGTAATGTTACTATGGCCTTCCCTGAGAAAGCCCTGCAACTTTGGCTTGGACTCTTTTGCCTGAAAATGATTTACTTTGAAAGTAAAGGAGAAAGTGACTGCAAAGTCTGTAGAAAATTCAGCCGCTCTTTGAGATAAAGGTAATTAAAAACTTACCCTGATCTGAAACGTTGACTGATGTTTTGTTGTCTCCCACTGGCTCAACTCTTTGATCCATTTGGAATTTCCATAGTTAAATGGCTTTGAAATTTTGAACCCTACCTATATTTGAAGACAATAAATTACAATTGAGCAAATTTATGAAGTTATTGTGGATTTTTTGGGCCCAACTCTGCTCTCATTGGCAAAGTCAGAGATCAAACTCAATTCCTGCTTCCCTACTTTAATTATTAAACCAACACCTTGTTCATGAATAGGTTATATTAGTATATATTTTGCAAATATTTAAAATTGTACCCATAAGCTTACTAGAAAAAGATTGAATTTATCATGAAGTACATATTCTGTAGAAAGCTTAGGGAGCTGAATTAAAGCCCATAGAAATGATTTCTGTTGAACTGTGAGTCAGTGCACCGTCTATATAAGAATCTGATATATGAACACTGAACTCTGACTTCCAACTAAGTAATAATCTATTAGCATATTTCATGAAGAGCAGATATGTTTCTCATAATATACATAACTCAGTCTCAAGAACAATTTTTGGAGATTGCAGTCTATGTGGTGTATGGTAATATGCTAGGTAGCTGATAGTCACATTGGCAAACATTTATTCAGTGTTATGTCAGGAAGTCCTATGTATGTATTGTCTGGGACTGGCTTGTACAAATATCTTCTCAAAACAAAATGTTTTCTCTGGGACTGAATAATAAAGTATCTTTATTGTGCTTCAATGTGCTTCTTAGGAAATACTTTGTAGAATACAGCTGTCTATGGCTCAGCGATTTTAAGGATGTATTGCAGTGAAGTTAATGGATTAAATTGCTGTCCAAATAGTATTAGAGAATTAAAGCAAAGTAGCAATGGCACTGAGTTACAACGTGCTGCTGTAGACACACTTTTCAGGTAGTCTTTCACTGCTCGGTGGGGTTGGGTTTCTTCCTGTTCCTCTTGTTGGCTGGGGTAATGTTAGTTTTGAAGAGATTGTTTTTTGAAGACACTATAACCTACTTTTGTTTTGATGCAGTGCTCAGCACCAAGGTCGCCTGAGTTTGGACCTAAGTCACAAACACTCCAGTGATTATTCTGAAAACTCACGGACGAGAGCATCACATGGTTCAAATTCATTACCATCCAGTGCAAGACTTGGTAATTAGCATTTCAAATTTGTTCGTGCAAAGTATTCTGTTTACATCTAAGACAAAGCAGAGAAAATTCCACCCTACTCAAAGCATCTTTCAGGGATCCTTCATAGCCGTCAGAACCTTAAGGGCCCATTATTTTTCCTTGCTTCAAGTTCCTGGCACTTACAATTTAAGCTTCCATTCTCCTTAGTGAAAAGATTTGGGTGAAACCCCTTTTACAACCTGTCTGCCTCTCCTTAGTATGTCACAGCTGAGTGTTGCAAGACACTCCTTTCAGCAGCTGTTGCTGCATGGAAGGCAATTGTGTGATGACTGTTGTCAGCAGGTAGAAGGATTTCGCAAATATAATGTTGAGATTCAGAGGTGGGATGGGAAGGGAGAAAGGAGGTAGCTCCAGAAGGAAGGCATAGATGTTAGCACTGATCAAATACTTAGGTAAGCCCTACACAAGTATTACATTGTGGGAAGATAACAAAGTGTGTTAAATTGTTTTATGTCCACCTTAGACAGTTCTGATATTTACATTTGGGTCTGTATCTATTCCAGCAGAACTTAAATATATGCACACTTCATGGCAGTAGTCTTTAACATTACATAGACCTTTTAATTCTGAAATATTTTAAAAAACTGTATAAATAAGAATCTTATGATCCATCACTGAAATACATCTACCTCTATGGCAGAACATGGCAGCTTTTCAGCAGAACAACAAAAACTATATGTCAGTTTAGGACAGGAAGTGAAATATCTTATCCATTGAAACTAGTGTAGGTAATTGGAATACAATTGAACTCTTTCAAAATGTGCCAGTGGAAGTTCAATGATCACAGGTGATCAGGACCTGTCTTATATCTCAGTCATGTAAATTGGCCAAAAAATATTTTAAAGAGTTCTTTGGTGCCCAAATAAGTATTAGATAGCTCAGTCATTTTGTAGCACTCAGTAATGGGTACATTTAAGCAATGCCATAGCTGTACTAGCTGTTTGAACTAGGCAGTTTGCCAGCCATGAAAGTGGGATTATAAAGGGAATTTTTTGGTAAGGCCTTGATTCTGCTGGGAGAACTGGACTCTTGCACCCACATAGAGATCACTTAGCTTGTCTTTAGAATCAGAGCCTAAATGTGTGTTATCTGTTTGCATTTACATATGTCATAAACTGTGACATTTTCTTGTTATAAAATAGGTTCTTCCAGCAACTTGCAGTACAGGACGGAAAGAATTAAGATCCCTTTAACCCCAAGGTATCCAAGGTCCATCATTGGCTCCGACAGGGGTAAAATCTTCTATTCTCAACATTTTATTTGTTGCCAATCCCCAGCATTAAAAATTCACGAGTCTGGTCCCCAAAAGATTGTTTTAAAAATTATACGATTTTAAAATTATTTTTTCAAGGATTTTCTCATAACTATAAGGAGTAGAAAGTTCCTTTTTACTTTTCCAAATGAAAGCACTTGATTCCAGGAGCTGGAGCTTCTCGGAAAACATCCGTTATCACAAGTCTCCTCATAAAATACCATGTGTCAACACAGAACTCTGTAAGAGTTCTAGTCCCATATGAAGTCATTTCCTAATTTTATAATAGTGGTGAAATGACTCCATAAAAGGTGTATTTTGTTAGCTCTAAAACACTGTATTCTTTGGCAAATTGAAGTCTTTCTAAACAGGATGTGAATTTAAGGTTTAAAGGATTTTCCATATTAATATTTTGCTTATATAAAGCATTCTTCGTCAGAGAACTTAAACATTTTACAAATATTTATTGAATTATTGGAAATATATAGAACGGTACAAATTATTTTCAGCAAACAATATGAACTGTACTGCAGAACAGATTTTTTTAATTTTTCAGAGAATATTTTACACAAGTAGAGTTCAGTCTGTAAATTGCTTGAAAGTTCTTGACTGACATTATTGCTTTGAGTATTCTGTATCCTTAATTAAAAATTAAAGATGCTTTAATTGGACATATATAGGTCATATGTTATGTTACTGTACCCTGACTGAAGGAACGTAGCTCTTATAAACAAGTTTCTTTTGTTATTACTAACATCAAATTTACTTCCTGCAACATTCCCTGATGCAGCAAATGATTGATCTGAACAAGCTGACGAGCAAGAATGTTCAGTCTAATATTCCTGGATAGAAAAAATACAGTCAAAGCAAATGTATTTAAAACTGTAGATCTTCACAAATAATTTTTTGCAGCATTTGACCTAAAGGCTATGTGCATGGACTTGTGCTGCTTAAGCTCTGTTGTTGTTTTGAAATGTTTCATAAGGCATTGTATAGCCAGAATCCAGGAGAGTGGATAAGGATCCTTTGAGACTGTCCCTAACATTCAGATCTTTATTTCATTTTTTCCTAGATTTTCTTTTTCATTATTATGTCAGGACTTTCCATTACTCATGTGCATTTATATATTCATTTGAAGGAGCTTGCCCATGGTCGGTTCTCACTGTTACAGTTTCAAGCCAGTGCTCTCAATTTCTAGAGCAGTAAAATCAACTCACATTTGAAAAGATATTGCATGTGTAAATATCTTCTCATGCTTATGTAAACTGTGCATCACATTTGTATTATTGGTGTGCATGTCTTTTAATGTCTTTTCAGATTCCTCCATTTTAAGACATTTACAATAAGCACTACATACAAAAACTGAATCCCTTTATTTTATTATTACAGGTTCACTGTCACATTCTGAATGTAGCAGTCCCAGCCTGATAACCCCTCCACAATCACCACTGAACCTGGAAACGTCTTCTTTTGCCAGCAGCCAGTCACAGAACTCGCTTTCTACATTACCTAGGATTTCTGTTAGCCCGGTATCAATTGGAGAGCGTAGAAAAGATAGGTAAGGTGATAGTTGTCGTCATCTTTCATACAGATACACCTCTACCCCGATATAACACGAATTCTGATATAATGCGGTAAAGCAGTGCTCTGGGGGGGGGGGGCAGGGCTGCGCACTCCGGCGGATCAAAGCAAGTTCGATATAATGCGGTTTCACCTATAATGCGGTAAGATTTTTTGGCTCTTGAGGACAGCGTTATATCGAGGTAGAGGTGTATACCTACGATAATCTTGTCTGATAGTTTATTAGAGTGAAGAAGTGTAAACAATTGGCTGTGCAAAATCAGGAGTATATTATACGTGTTGCGGTGTACTTTAAGTCCTGTTACTCTTTTTTTAAATTATTATTATGTATGTGTTGTGAAAGAAGCTTGTGTAACATATTCTTCCTTCAGAAGTTATAGGGTAGTGTTAAAGCTTCCAGAAACTCTGAGACTGATGTGAGCAGTAGGGTATCTTCTGTTAGATTAATGGTTTCACCAAACAGGTACAGCTCCTAAACTGGACTGCTTCTCCTCCTGGTAGGCTTGCTCAGATGTCGGTCCCTGGTGGAATCTTTTCACTAGGAGTCAAAAGAAAATGAAGACCCTATAAATAGTTTGTGGTTAATGCTAAACTTTTTAACGTGACTGGCCGCCAGGCCTAACTCTCTCATTTACACTTGCTGTGTAAATTGGCAGATTTGGCAGATTCAGTCCAAGCAGATCTCTTCAACAAGATTTAAATTCAGGACCATGGCCCTGATCCTGCAAACATGTTTGTACATGGTTAACTTTACTACAATGAGTAGTTCCAATGATTTTAATTGGATTATTCACAGTCGTAAGGTTAAGTGCTGAGTGTTTGCAGGTTTGGAGCCTAAGTAAGATGTTGGGTTTTTAATATAATATAGGTTTTCGTTGATGTCACATCCCTGTTTCTTATAATGCACATTCAGCTTGTGCTAATTAATTTTGGACTTCTGCTTTTACTTTTATTGTACAAGTACTACCTCTGCATTTGTCAGCATTTACATAAACTCAGAATATCAAACAACAAACCATGGACTCTAAGGGCCAGATTTGTATTTATATTAAGGCCTCTTTACACCATTTTGGCAGAATAAAGAAACTTTGATGTGGAAGTAAATTACATTTATATGCACTTTAAGACCCCTGATTGTATAAATAGCAACCTGGCCCTCAAAATGTAAATAATCCAATCACAAGGGCATTCTATATAATAATACTAAAATAATTCTTAAATCTTACATGAAATTTTATCAGGTTTCATCACGGGATAATTGAAGATATTTCAGCAATTTTTATTCCACTACGTGTATATTGTACTGTACATTGCTGTTTTGAAAGTCACTGTAGAAAGCACATTGTGGAGCTTTATTTATTAATTCACCCTAATTATCACAACTGTATTCAGTTTTCAAGTAAAAAGATGCTTTCTGCTAATGGTCAGCCCTGCAGGCTTACCATTGAATCTGAAGATCAAGCAGGGTTTTTCCCCTTCTTGCACATAACTAATAGAGAGAGCGTTTTGGCAGCACAAATGATGAGTTCAGTGAAACCTGTGTAATCTCATATTCCTGTCAATGGGGCTACGCAGGTGTAAGTGCTTGGAACTTAGCCCTGGTCTACACTGAATAACGTAGCTGAAGTCGACGTACTTAGATCGACTTACCATGGTGTCTTCACTACGGTGAGTCGACTGCTGCCGCTCCCCTGTCGACTCTGCCTGTGCCTCTTGCCAAGCTGGAGTACAGGAGTCGACGGGAGAGCGCTCGGGGATTGATTTATCGCGTCTAGACTACCGGCTGGTAGTGAAGACATACCCTTAATAAAGAATTCTGTTGATGATGTACAAGCAAGAGTAAAATCCTGCTCACTTTTCGCCATTTTGGATTTGCTGGGCACCACATGAAAAATTATAGGTGCCAGGCAGTAGTGATTTGTTCTGCCTTTTGGAGTAAGGAGTAGAAATTACATCTTCTGCTGGGAGACTCATAGACTCTTACCTTACCTTAACTAACATTCTATAACACTCTGCTATTCAACAAGAAACAGATATACAAATCAGATTAAGAGTACTGTAAATGGAGGAAATGATCAGAAGAAACTGCACCAGGCTTTCCTTCTAAAATAATGTGTATAGATTATTCTCTCATTATATGTATTAGTGTCTGTTACTATTGTGTGTCTAAGTGTTCTTCTCTTCTCAAATCTTCTGCATCTTTCAGATATCTCTTCCGTAATAGGTCTTTTCTGAGAATCCCTCTGGCTCCTAGGCCTAGGTTCTCATCACTAAGGAGTTTGAGGTTGGCCTGATATAAGGTTGTCCTTCTCAAGCAGCATTGCGCACCTTGTGCTATTTTACATGTTTGGATAATTTCCCTCAAGGAGAATTTGCATGGTAATTGTAATGCTACCATGCAAACTGCTGTCTTAAAGCTTGAGTTTGCAACTGCTTAATTTTCATTACTAATTTGCGTTTCCCTGCGTACAAGTATAAAACTGATATTGTGTATTGGCTTCTCTTGTTCACCACCTTATTATTTACAATGTTTATTTTCACTGGATATTAAGACTCCCAGCATTTATAAACTGTAAGGCACCTTTCTAGAATATGGTTTGTAAATTGCATATTATATATAGTGGTTTACTTTTATATAATATGGATGTGGAGGTTTATTTCCTACCTATTTCACCATCATAGTATTTATAATTCACGTTTGCCATATCTTTTTTTGTGAAGTCATGTATCTAGAATTGTGTATCTGATATACATTTAGTTCCACCACTGTACATTGCATGGTGTTTAAGGAATGCGTAGGCCGTTTAGAGTATTTTTAGTAGCTTTTTAAACCAGTCTTAATATTCCACTTCAGATACATAGTGCATGTCGCTTTTAAATATTATGCTTCAAGTGCCATTTTGTCAAAATCAATTTTTAACAATTTCCTCTTAAAGGCCGTACATGGAAGAACCACGCCATGTTAAAGTGCAAAAGGGTTCTGAGCCCCTAGGGATTTCCATTGTGAGTGGAGAAAACGGTGGGATATTTGTGTCTAAAGTAACTGGTGGGAGCATTGCCCATCAAGCTGGCCTTGAATATGGTGATCAGTTACTGGAGGTAATTTTGTTTGCTTAACATTTCTACTACTTAGTAAACAAATGCAGTTGTGTGAGTATAAAATTAATGCACAATATCTTGTGAATGAGAACCTGTCTCTCAAAATATAAATTATTCAATAACAGGGATACTCTAGATCATCATACTAAAATAATAATTCTCTAATTCTATAAGAAGTTTCATCACAAATTATTCATCAGTTTTTACTTCACTAAGGGCAGGTCTACACTAACCCCCCAAGTCAAACTAAGGTACGCAACTTCAGCTACGTGAATAACGTAGCTGAAGTTCGAAGTACCTTAGTTCGAACTTATCTCGGTCCACACGCGGCAGGCAGGCTCCCAAGTCGACTCCGCGGTACTCCTCTCGCCGAGCAGGAGTACCGCAGTCGACGGCGAGCACTTCCTGGTTTGACTTATCGCGTCCAGACAAGACGCGATAAGTCGAACCCAGAAGTTCGATCGCTCGCCGCCGAACTACCGGGTAAGTGTAGACCTACCCTAAGTGTGTCTTTATAAAGGATAATGCTGCCTTGAACGTTGCTGTGTAGAAGGCACAAGTCTGCTGCTGCAGTATTTGTGGAAGATAGATGTACCTGAAGCAAAATCATGGAGCCAGAAAACCAGAAACCTGGTGTTTGAAATTCATAGCTGGATCCAGAGTTTGTGTCTTGAACCCATCGGTACTTAAAATCATTCATCATTAGGGTTGCCAATTTTGGTTGGATGTATTCCTGAAGATTTCATTACATGACATAATCTTTAATTCCTGGAGACTCCAGGCCAATCCAATCATGGTGTAACATGAACTAGCAAATATTCAAACAAAAACCAACTTTCGGTGCTATTTCGCAATCTTTGCAGTACTTCAATAGAATGCTATCTGTCATCCAAAAAGAAAAGCATTTCAGGATTGTCATCAAGTTGTCAAATTTTAAAGTTGCATTGATTCCTCCAAAGGAGTAATTAAATAGTAAAAGAAAGATCAATAGTTCTATAGCTGCTCTTTCTCCCCCTTCTTCAGACAACCATCTCGCAGCACTCCCACAGATTGAGAGACTCGTGTTTCAGAAAGCAGTATCAGCAAATCAGGATGCTGCAAGTTCTATAATGATTTTGCTGGGTTTTCTTTGAAAATTGGATGTCTAATGTCTTATATTTATTCATTCTAGTTCAATGGAATAAATCTGAGAAATGCTACAGAGCAGCAGGCTCGACTGATCATTGGACAGCAATGTGACACTATTACTATTCTGGCTCAGTACAACCCACATATGTATCAACTTGGCAATCACTCACGATCGAGGTAAAAGTTAGCTAGACCTTGAAAATGCTATTGTCTGGTCTGTGTCATTTATCAAGATATTTAAAACATTCTAAACTGAGACTAACTAAAGATGTTTTGATTAAAAAAAAAAAGAGTGCTTAGAAAAAACAAAACAAGGTGAATAGCATCCATTTTAAAACCAAGGCATTTGTTTTATTTATTTTTTTTAAGACTAAACAAGGAAAAATTAACTTTTCAGAAACATGAAACTACAAACAAGTAATCACACATTGGTTTACTGTAGGAGCACTAGTAGCATTGACACTTTGTCAAAAGAGTACTGAATTTTCTCAGAGATGTGGGGGGAAGAACCTACTGGCCTTTGAAAAGGGGACTCTTTTATCTAAAGTATACCGGACTACATATCAAAAAATAAGGGTTTGTTTCTGTAAGAATCCACTTGGATCTTTAGAAACAGGCTGATTCAAGCAAAAAAGGGGGAAGGCAGAAAATCTACCCTCTGGAGAAGCTACCTGGACATTCACAGAGGTGAACTGTAGTGTTCTTAAGAGGAAAAAAACAAGTTAATGACACTCTCAATATTTAAGCAGCCACATTCCTTGGTCAGCTTTAGTTGTTACTGTTGTCCTCTGCTTGTAGCAGGCGTGTACTGTGATAAGCTCAGGCCTTGTCTACACTACAGGGAAAAGTCGATCTAAGCTACGCAATTTGAGTTACATGAATAGCATAACTCAAGTCGATGTAGCTTAGATCTACTTACCGCAGGGTCCACACTATGCTTCCCGTACTCTTCTCGATCCAGTGGAGTACAGGAGTCGATGGGAGAGCGATCTAGGGTCAATTTAGTGGGTCTTCACTAGACCCGCTAAATCGACTGACCACCGATGCATCGCTTGCCGCGCGTCAATCCCCTGGTAAATGTAGACAAGCCCTCAGTATAAATGCTAGGTAGGTAACTATACACAGCTGCTGGGAGTGACTCTTGCAGCCTCAGTCAGCAGACTCAGGCTAGCAGGGCTTGGGCTCGCACGCTAAAAATAGCTGTGTAGATGTTGCTATGACATTTGGGGTCAGGCTCTCAAGCCCCGCTCCCACCCCTCCCCCACACACACCTTCCGTAGGCATCAGAGCCCAAGATTCAGCCCGATCTGGAACATCTGCATTCCTATTTTTAGTACCCTAGCGTGAGACCCACAAAATAGTAATAGTGACCCCGACTGTGAGACTCACTCCCAGCAGCTGTGTAGACATACCCACGGAGTCCTGATTTTCAGTTCTTGGCAGGTAAGGAAAGCAGAAACTGATTTGCAAATAGTATTTTGTTTGTAATTTTTAAATGTGCCCTTTAGAGCTTCCATAAGTACCATGTCGCATGTTGAGTTCTACATGTCCATTTACAGTTACCAAAACTGCAAATCGCTTTTTTATATGCAGATAATACATTTCAAGACACTGCAGCAGCCTTTAAGGAGGCCTGGTGAAGGTGCAGCCCTGTCTGATTTGGGATCTTAAGCAGCTCTTAGTATTTTTATAAAAACTTTTAACCTTTTACATGTCAGAGGATTCCCAAAAAAGTATTTGAAAACCAATCCCACTTCAGTTAAACTACTAATAGTCTTTTGAGACATGATCACACTTAAAACTCAACTGTCTCTTTCACTTTCATAATGTTCATTATGACAATGCTTGCATTTCCATGAGGCTATTGGGATTTCTTAAATGATATTCCCAGTATAGACATGAAAAGACATTCCCAGGGCATTTCCAAATAATTTAATTCTGATTATTTATTCAGAAATAGCAATAAAAAGCAAAAATATACTAGTGAGGAGTATAGTTCCCTGTAGAAACCAAGGACCTAACTGGGAGGTCTGCACAGAGAAGTCTTTCAGAACAGAACCCAAAGACATTAGCTATAACGCTAATGCAAGTTTGCCTAGAAATAAATTTAGAAGGCTTATACTGATTGCACTATTTTGAGATTTCTCAGTTGATTTCAACTTGATTATAGCCCAGATTGAGATTCCAGGGAAACCAGTATCTGAATGATTAATGTTCCTTGATGTCTGAAGTTAGTTTTGGTATTTGTTGAACTGTTAACATTTATCAATGTGTTTTACACCCTCTCTTGCTCTCTGTTTAGTTCTCGCTTAGAACCAGTGAGCAATCATTCCACTCCTCAAGGCAGTGGAGCTGCAACCCCTGACAATCATTCCATAATAGATACTGTGAGTGAACAGGATGAAGGAACAATGACACCTCCATCCAAACAAACCACACCTACAACTAGTCCCCGGAATTCCATGAGGTAAATAGTCTGACCACGTCATTTTCTGGTTTCCAAAAGTGAGGGGAGGACAAGACATAAAATGAAACGTGCTTCCTAGAGTGCACTGACATTTTTCAATAGACAGAAGCCTTGAGATAAAACAATTTTCTTGTTTCTTGCAGACCTATTTGAGAAGCACTTCAAATACAAATGTAGCAACAAGATTAGTTTAATTGAGAACAATATAGGAAGCATGAAGTTGAAGTTACGCTGTAGAGATGTAATAAGGAGGCAAATAGACTGCTTTTGTTCAGATGACTAGTTGCACTTGAACTGTAAATGAGAGCAGCTAATACACTGTTTTCAAATTGCTATCAAAAGGGTCCCTGTGGACACAAACAAGAGGACCCCTGAACCAAGAAATGTTGTCATTAAAAAATCCCAAGTGGAGCTTGGAATCCAGATATGTGGTGGAAACCTGCATGGAATATTTGTGTCTGATGTAGAAGATGACAGCCCAGCAAAAGGACCTGATGGACTAGTAACGGGAGACATGATACTTGAGGTAAACTGTGAAGATACAAAATATAGAAGACATATTCCCTTCTAACGTTTCAAATTTTTAAAAAAGCATGTACTTGAGAGCATGCCTGATGGCAGTCCAACAAATTGGTTGTTGCTACTAGATTCCTTACAGCAGAGCACTTTCTGGCAGGTTTGATAGCTACATGCAGTTGCCCATAGGAACTACATTGTTCTCTTTTAGGTTTCTGTCCTAAAGTATTCTTTTCTGCACTTCATGTTAGGCCTTGCTTCCGCTAAGGGCACTCAGCAAAAGTTCCCCCCACTAAGACCAGTTCATTTCCACCAGTGTTAGTAACCCTGGAAAACCTAGTGCAAATGGACAGCCCTCTCAAACGTTAACAATGTCTAAGTGATGGTATGAGAACTCTGAGTCTGTCTGAAACAATAGCTCTGAGATCTGTGAATTGTCCCCATCATTTCAATGGTGTGTTAAGACTTAAGTCTCATAAGCATTTAAATGGAGGGGAGGGATAGCTCAGTGGTTTGAGCATTGGCCTCCTAAACCCAGGGTTGTGAGTTCAATCCTTGAGGGTGCCATTTAGGGAACTGGGGTAAAAATCTGTCTGGGGATTGGTCCTGCTTTGAGCAGGGGGTTGGACTAGATGACCTCCTGAGGTCCCTTCCAACCCTGATATTCTATGATTCTATGAAATACCAACAGGAACTATTTCACAGGTGATCATTTTAGCAGAAATGTGCTTATTTTCCATTGTTGGTTGGAGTGGCAACTGGGTCAGGGTGTTGTGGGGCAACTAGTTGTTGGGAAATGTGAAATGACCATTATCAGAAATTAACCTCTCTTTCAGCCACAGTTTACCTAGTGTAGACGTGGTAAACTGCTTTGAGCCACAGTTAGCACAGTTTCATCTGTCTGCAGTGGGGGTTTGCAGTGGTACAGCCACACAGATGGCTGTAATTAGGACAAACCCTCAGTACAGAGAAGACCTCAGACTGCTCTCAGAGGAGAATCATCCACTTCCCAGAACGAAAACTGTCCCGTGACCTACACTGCACTTACTCCTTGTCAGTACAAAAATCTGCAGCACACTGCAAGAGTAACAACTGCAGCAGCATACAAAAAATTGGATTAGTATGAAAACTCTAAATTGCCCAAAGAACTCTGTGCTGATTGGAACAGACTGTTGAGGAGGGGAAGGAGTACCCCATGATTCTGGGGTCCCTCCCCATAGCTTGGGCCTAATATACCACTGAGAGCGCAGGGCCTTGGTTATAACTCTCACAATTAAATAGTTGGCAATCACTGGCAGTACACGGAGGCTTATCTTTACTAAAGACAGGGAGTTTAGAGTACAAACCACACATAAGCCTGAAGTACCAGTGTTGGTGTACAATGTACTAGGAGTTGAGAATTACTGTTCTAGAGGGTAGTAGGCTCTAGATGGGAAATCTTGAGCCCAGGTTCTGTAGATGGATACAACAGCCCTTATGAACCGCAGGCCCTCTCCTCGTTTCGGGCGGGGCGGGGGGGAGAGTGTGAGAGAAGCAAGAAGAAGGGATGATCCGTGTAACAGAGAAGGTTGGTCGTGCCCTTGTGACCTTGGGCAACCCGTTAATCTTTCTGTGCCTTGTTTTTCCATCTGTGAAATGGGGATATTTCCCTACCAGACAGGGGTGTTGGGAGGATAAATACATTGTTTGTGAGCTGCCCAGATACTACTGTGATGTAATCCATGTGAGTACTTTGGGAGATGTTCCCATTGTACCCGCTTACTCCTGGATACTCGTCCACATGTAGGAGGTGTGCAGGGTTTGTTTTTAAGTTTTACACCTTGATTCAGACCACTTGATCTGCCTAGGAATCCTAAAATAAAAATCATGGACTGAACAGAAACACTGGATTTATGGTTTATTAAAACAATCTGTACCCCACTAACCTCCTCTTTTTGTCCTCTGACTGCAGAGGTGTTAACGCCACTCAACCTTGAATAGTATCTTATAATATGTGCTCACTACTTATGCTAACAATCTGTTCCACCCTGCATTTTGCTGTGACTCTGGGAGTACCTTTCCCAGACCTGAAGAAGAGCTCTGTGTGGCTTGAAAACTTCTCTCTCTCACCAGCTGAAGTTGGTGCAATAAAAGAGATTACAGCCATGTCTACAAGATTATGTATGTACGCATACAGCCAGCGCATTGTGGGATGGCTCCTGAAAGCCATAACAGTTGATATAAGCAACGTACTGTCTACACTGACACTGCTTTGACCAAAGTACATCGACCATGACTCTGTGCTGCTTGGGGAGGTGGTGTTACAATCAGCGTAAAGATGCGTTGACGGCGGGAGCCAAATTTAAGCGACGACGTTTCCATACCTAACACTGTAGTGTAGATCAGGCCTACCTCACCCACCTGGTCTCTCTAGGAATCCTAAATAAGATCTCCTTGGAATCTTGTGATTTTCTGCTTTTGTTTCCGGAACAGCTAAGGGAATATGGTGGCTTTTTCCCTTTTTGTGTATATCCACTGCGTTTTCTTCAGGGATTTTTTAAAAATTCTACTCTCTGTCTCAGTACTGGATATTTTAACTGGTGCCTACACTAGTTTGTATCGTGCTGTGGTGCGTTTTCCTTTTACACACGTACCTGCCATTGGGAGAACCAAACTCCCACTTCACATGCTTCCTCAGGCTCCACTCTAATCCTACAATCTATTAAGACACAACATCAGCTCTGAGACCTCATGAGTTTTGGGTTTTTCTGTATTTTACAGTATGGATCTGTTGATATGCGAAATAAAACAGCTGAGGAAGCCTACCTTGAAATGCTGAAGCCAGGAGAAAATATAAGCGTAAAGACTCAGTACAGACTAGAAGAATTCAACAAGATTAAAGAGTTACCTGGAGATGGATTCTATATCAGGTATTAACATGTCCATTAAATAGCTTAGTGTCTTAACTATTTTGCCAGCAAGAATCACATGTAGCTGCAAATAATTTAAAAGTAAAGGACCATACAAAGCTGCTAGAACAGTATGCTGACCATTGTATGCAAGGGGTCAGAGAGGCAGCAAATCAGTCTTTCGGCTTATGTTGGAAATTCAAAGCACAATGCCCTATCTCAGCTAGCTCTTGATTCTTTGCAATTGCTGAAAGTGTGCAACCTATATCCCAAGTGTAACTGCCTACTTCACTGTGGGTACATGGGCATTTGGAATGTTAGAGACCAACTCCAGTAGAGAGTCATTTATTTTCCTCACTATCTACACGACTTGCTTCACTTGAGATGGTGGAGCTTCATTTATAGAGTCTATTTATGTCTCTCTTTGCAGAGCACTTTATGATCGGCTGGCAGAGGTGGAGCAGGATTTAAACTTTAAGAAGGATGACATTTTGTATGTTGATGATACTCTACCACAGGGGAACTTTGGTTGCTGGATGGCTTGGCAGCTGGATGAGAATGCTCAAAAGCTAGAGAGAGGACAGATTCCCAGCAAATATATGTAAGTGACCTCAGTGACAAATTGCTTCTTAAAGTTCCTGAATGATGAGCTATAAACAAAAAAGAACCGGGTTTGAGTCTTCAAAGCTGTGTGATTCCTGTGAGGTATTAGTTTCCTAGAAGTGTTATTTTAGGGGTGGCATGTTTTAATAACATCTAATTAAATAAGATGTTATGTCAAGTCATTTTTAGTGCTGCTAATAGTAACCTCCTAAAAGTGGAAAGGACACACAGTACTGTGCTGTGAAAGAAGATTCAGACAGTAACCTAAGTGACTTTACACAGAAATATCATCTAAACTGGGGGTGTCAAACTCATTTTTAGACAGAGCCACTCGCTTTTGAATTATGATCTGTGTAAACTGAGGACTGTGTACCCAAAACAATCCACTATTACCAAAGGGAAATATTCACCAAGATCAAGGGCAGAATATGATCCTTATTCAGCCATTAAATTTTTAGCTGCTTAGTGCAGTCACATTCAGTATCACTCAGCAGGCAAATAGTCTCACCTTTTAAGATCACTGCTATTTCTGCCCTTCCTTTCTCTCCTTTCATCATAAGAACTCGTAAGCAATTTTTGACAATAGAAGCTATGCTAATGCATAGGATAGCTGTTACATTTTGAAAGCACAGTATAGACATAATTATCCTCACACTGTTCCTGTGAGATAATTAAGAAGGAATTGACCCCATTTTGCAGACAGAAAGATATCTACTGTGTGTACAGTAAGTTTGCTTCCATTTTAAATACAACTGCATGATAGTAATTTTGTGTTGGAATGTTAAACAAAACTAGTCACTTAGTTTGCAGAAACAATAATGGCAATACAATGTGCCTCATCTTATAACCAAAAGTGTGATACCTTCCATTCTGTCTATGTAGGGGGAGATTGACTTTCACTGGGAATTAGGGGCCTAATTACCTTTAAAAATCTCCCCCAAAATTCTCAGCCAGAATTTGTCAAGCTCTTTCTAGCGCTATTATATTTACCCACATTCTAGTGTCCCTGAAGAAAGGCCCAGAAAATCAGACTCAAGATATATAATACATGGGATATATTCTTCCAATGTTGATCAATAGTAGTTTCAGGTTATGGATATTCTGTTGATGCTGCTTGAGATCATTTGGCAATTGCCCTAGACAAGTTTTCCTTAGTGATGATACATTTTTCTTTTCTTTTGTGAAGAATGGCTCTTAAAATCCCTATGTGTTTGTGCTAACCTGAATACAATTATTCAATCCGTTTCACTGTAGGATGGACCAGGAGTTCTATAGGAGACACAGTATGTCTGAGGCTAAAGATGAAAACAGCTCCACTAAGACTTTGTCAGCAGCAGCTCGAAGATCATTCTTTAGAAGAAAACATAAACACAAGCGTAGTGGTTCCAAAGATGGAAAAGATTTACTGGCTCTTGATACAATCAGTACAGACTCCATTCCTTTCTTGGATGGCAAGTGCCTTTGTTATATTTAGTTTTCTTAAGGCTATGAAAAAACATCTGAGAGAAGTGTGGTTTTCTGATTGATCTGCATATAAACTCTGGAGATTTATCTGTGTCCTATGACACTCATTGTTCTCAGGCACCAAACATAGGCATTAAATAACAAGCCAGATCATCATCTCAAATTAGTGCTTGTAGTTTCTTAATTTAAAAAGGAAAATGTCCATCCCCTGATGTATGAATATTAAAATTTAACCTTTTGAGCAGGGTTGAAAAAAAAAAAAAAGCCTTTTGACATTTATGCCACCAGCATGGTTTAAATCCTTTAATTCCATCTTCTCATAACAGGACTACAGGCCCTTTGTCCATTGCCAAAGATTTATGTTCAAACCTTTTGTAATTAGTTGTGTGCCCTTTATTTATCTGAACGATACTGCAAAAAAAATTTTTAATTGTGCATAAGGGACTTTTTTGTTACTCTTTTTAGATTCTGTGAGTCTGGCTTATCAGCGTGTACAGAAAGTGGATTGTACCTCTCCCAGGCCCGTACTCATTCTAGGACCATTACCTGATGCTGTGAAGGACATGCTAGTCAAAGAATCTCCTGGAAAATTTTGCAGATGTCCCCTTGGTAAGTGTACAAGTAATGAGAGCAATTTTGTGTGTTTTGCCATGTAACTTTTATTTGTACTTGTAGAAATAACACAATCATCTGGCCTAACAACTGGATTAAAGGGTAGCACAAAGATTCTAGGAGGGGGAGGAAAAAGCAGGACTGTGAAATTCTATCCTGTAAATCTTGTTCTGTAGTTAAGAAATATAAATGAACGAAGTATCAATTTTTGTTCTCTGAAACAGAAGTGATGAAAGCTTCCCAACAAGCCATCGAACGCGGAGTGAAAGACTGTTTGTTTATAGATTACAAACGAAGGAGTGGACATTTTGATGTGACAACAGTAGCTTCAATAAAGGAGATAACAGAGAAGGTGATTGTCTCTTTATGGTATCTTCTCTTGCTCTCCAGTTCACTGTAAAATTTACAGATAATTATTATATACTGTATTTCCTGAAAAAAATTGTACTAGTGCTGATATTGTTCTGTTTCAAAAGATTACCAAAGAATTGTTCCCAGGGCATTTTCTTCTTGAGAAAAACAAGGTAATTTAATATAAGTGCAGTTACCTTGTTTCATCGTGTCGCTATTTAAAGACTCTTTTATAATCCTAGGTATAGAGAAACTGGTTGTTAGTTATTCTTTAAGTCATCTTAATATTAGTTAAAAAAAGAAATTCTGTGCATTGCATAGTTTGAATTAACTTTTTATTTTTAAAAATATTTGTAAATACTTTGTTTCTTGACACTGCTCAGATTGCATAAAATTTGCCAGTGGATAAACACTGCAAGAAAGAAACCGCTAAACCGACTTTAACAGAATTAAAATGTGTTCTATCAAACCAGATATATACTCTTACTGCTTAAGGAGTAGAGCTGCATATTTGGTCTAGTTAGGAGATATGAAAGACTATTTATTTGTTCTTAAAGACAAAAATGAATGAATACCTAAATCCGTTATCGCAGTAGGTTTGAGATTAATTGAGTCTCAAATATCCTCAAATAAATGCCTGTTCTATTAATAGATTTTTTTGGTACTCTAAATGGGGTTTATTGTTTTATGTATTTTTGTCATCTTAAGGATTGATAAATCCTTTACATACAATGCACTTTGTAGTTACTGCCGCAACATATTTTATGTGTAAAAGGTGTTGAAAATATGCTTAATGGCCTGTCATATAAATGTAAAGCAGAAATTTCATTGAGTTACTGGGGTTTCACTGGGGGATTAATAGGATCCTTGTAAGTTTGCTTATGCTTATGCTTTCTACCCAAATATTTGTTTTTAGGATTGTCATTGTCTATTGGACATTGCTCCTCATGCCATTGAACGGCTCCACAGTGTTCATATCTACCCTATTGTCATCTTCATTCGATACAAAAACGCTAAGCAAATCAAGTAAGTGAGGAATATAGCTTACGGCCACTTGTTTTGTTATACAATAATAGTTTGTATAGTCTGTTTCATTTTAGTATCTCAGAAAACCTTTATAAATGTGAATCAATTAAGTCTTGCAACTGTCTTGTGATAAGTAGGTAGACTTATCACCATGCAACAGAGGGATAAAATGAAGGGACTTCGGTAACTTACCATGTTTTGATATAAAGCATATTAAGTAGTGCTGTTGATGAATCACAGTTAACTCATGTGATTAACTCCAAAAATTAATTGTGATTTAAAAAATAAATTGTGATTAATCGCACTGTTAAACAATAGAATACTAATGTCCATTTATTAAATATTTTGGATGGTTTTTCTACACTTTCAAATATATTGATTTCAGTTACAACACAGAATACGAAGTGTACCATGCTCACTTTATATTATTATTTTTATTACAAATATTTGCACTGTAAAATAAGAAATAGTATTTTTCAGTTCACCACATACAAGTACTGTAGTGCAATCTCTTTATCGCAAAAGTGCAACTTACAAATGTAGATTTTTTTTTTTGTTACATAACTGCATTCAAAAACAAAGCACTGTAAAACTTTAGAGCCTACAAGTCTACTCAGTCCTACTTCTTGTTCTGCCAATCGCTCAGAGAAATAAGTTTGTTTACATTTACGGGAGATAATGCTGCCCGCTTCTTGATTATAATGTCACCTGAAAGTGAGAACAGGCTTTCGCATGGCACTTTTGTAGCTGGCATTGCAAGGTATTTACATGGCAGATATGCTAAGTGTTTGTATGCCCCTTCATGCTTCGGCCACCATTCCAGAGGACATGCTGATGATTCTCGTTAAAAAAAAAAAATGCATTAATTAAATTTATGACTGAACTCCTTGGGGGAGAATGGTATGTTTCCTGGTGTTTTGCCTGCATTCTGCCATATATTTCATGTTATAGAAGTCTCAGATGATGACTCGGCACATGTTCATTTTAAGAACACTTTCACTGCAGATTTGACAAAATGCAAAGAAGGTACCAGTGTGAAATTTCTAAAGATAGGTACAGCACTCGACCCAACGTTTAAGAATCTGAAGTGCCTTCCAAAATCTGTGGAGCATGCTTTCAGAAGTCTTAAAAGCGCAACACTCTGATGCAGAAACTACAGAACCCAAACCACCAAAAAGGAAAATCAACCTTCTGCTGGTGGCATCTGACTCAGGTGATGAAAATGAACACGCATCGGTCCTCACTGCTTTGGATCGTTATCTAGCAGAATCTGTCATCAGCATGGACACGTGTCCTCTGGAATGGTGGTTGAAGCATGAAGGGACATATGAATCTTTAGCGTATTTGGCACATAAATATCTTGCAAAACCGGCTATAACAGTGCCATGCGAACGCCTGTTCTCACTTTCAGGTGACATTGTAAACAAGAAGCAGGCAGCATTATCTCCTGCAAATGTAATCAAACTTGTTTGTCTGAACAATTGGCTGTACAAGAAGTAGGACTGAGTGGACTTTCTAGGCTCTAAAGTTTTACATTGTTTTATTGTTGAATGCAATTATTTTTGGTACATAATTCTACATTTCTAAGTTCAACTTTCATGATAAAGAGATTGCATTACAGTACTTGTATTAGGTGAAGTGAAAAATACTATTTCTTTGGTTTTTTACAATGCAAATATTTGTAATCAAAAATAAATATAAAGTGAGCACTGTACACTTCATATTCTGTGTAGTAATTGAAACCAAAATATTTGAAAATGTAGAAAATATTCAAAAATATTTAAATAATTTTCTATTATTGTTTAACAACGTGATTAATTGTGATTAAACACAATTACTTTTTTAATTGCATGATTAATCACGATTAATTTTTTTAATTGCTTGACAGCCCTAATATTAAGTTATTTGTCTT